TTGGGGCCCCAGATAACGGGAGGGGGATGCGGGCCCTTGGGTTTGATCCACCCGAGCATTTCGGAATGGAGGGGGTTTTTTCTCACACCTTCGAGAGTAGATTGTTCTGGGAAGGGGGGCATCCAAACCACCAGGGCGAAGGGGGGGGTGCCCTTCCGCGCAGCCCAGGAGGGGTGCCCTTAAGGGGGCACAAAGGTAGCTCAAAGGGGAGTGAACAAGACGCCGCACAGGCGACGTGCACGCTCGCCGCCTGCGCTCGCCGCGTCGCTCTCTCCCTCCCCTTCTTTGCTTGAACTGGGGAATAAAGAGAGCTTCTGCGAGCCGCGCTCGGCCCCTGTCGGGCGCGATGGCCGCGGCAGTACCGCCGATTGATCTGCACTGCGTTCACGCGGGGCCCGACGCCCCCGTCCAGGGCCCTTTCGTAAAAATTGCCCGAGTGGTCTGTGGGGAAAAAACGAAAATCGAGACGGACTTCTTGAACGGCCGGGCAACATGTCTTCCTTACTATTATTAATTGATGCTTTTTGCACGGCTGAGCCCCCCCCCCCCCTCCCCCGCGCCCACTCCCTGCCCTCTCCCGCCACGCACTCTGTCAGAGCCCCCTCCCCTCTTGCACAACAGGAATTTTGACAATTAACAATCATGCCACGTGTGCTATGTTCTTTGTGTGTGTAGTACGTCTAGAAGTTGCTATGTCTACTGGGCGCGCCTCGAGGGGCGCGCAGGGCAGAGGCTCGACGGTCACATCACATCGGCTCGTCGGGGTTTGGATGGAGAAGGGGAGGGCGAGGGGGGGTTGGGCACAGTCGGCCAGGGGGTAGTAGGCCGCAGGGCGTACGGGGTAGCCGTCACTTTCCTGCCTCACAAAGGGCGGGACTGTCCCGGAAAGGGAGAAATGCCGGGCAGCGTGGCGCATCTACTTTATTTACCTCCCATACACCCATACGTGTTTGTTAGCTCCTTTCCTCGGGCTGTTTCATAATCTCCTCATCTCATTCCCACCTGCCTAGGCGGGGAGGTGGGCGTGCGGGCGCGGGGTGCGGTGTGTGTGTGAGAGAGAGAGAGAGATTTGTGTGTGTGTGTGTGTGTGTGTGTGTGTGTGTGTGTGTGTGTGTGTGTGTGTGTGTGTGTGTGTGTGTGTGTGTGTGTGCACAGCGGCAATTCGTCCTGTTCAACGCGTGAAAATAAAAACGCCAGGCTCGACCAACGCGCCGCCCTCGCCGCGTACGACACACACGACGGCTTGCTGACGAGGCATCGCCTGGCCACCACCACTTATGAATCGCGCGCTCCCGACCCGGCTCCTCGCCGCCTACGACGGCTTGCTAACGAGGCATCGCCTGGCCACCACCACCGTCAGCGGCGCTCTGCTCGGCGGCGCTGGTGACGTGGTCGTCCAGCACGCAGCAGCGTCGTCCGACGTCGACCGAACGGCCGCATTCTTCATTTTCGGCGGCGTGCTCACGGGGCCGATCAACTACCGCTGGCTCGACTTCCTCGCGGCCGCGTCGAGAAGCATCGCGCCGCAGGGCGGTGCCGCGTCTCTCGCCGCAAAGGTGGCGCTGCAGTCGACGGTCATGCAGCCGCTGATATACCTCCCGTCCTTCTACCTGACTAACGCCCTCGTGCGTCCGCGTCCTCGTCGTTCGTTCTTCCCGCTGTTGCTGGACCATCTGACTTCTGTTCCTAGGTGCGCCGCTGGAGCGTGGCCGAGGCGGCTGAGCACGTCCGTGCCGAGTATGCGGACACGCTGCGCAGACTCTGGCTCTTCTGGACGCCCTCGGTCTGCTTCGCCTTTGGCGTGTTGCCGCTCCGGCTGCAGGCGGTCTTCTTCGCCGGAGTCGGATTCGCGTGGAACGTCGTCCTCTCGGCGTACAATGGCGCAGGGCCGCAGCGCGTAGCCAGCGTGAGCCAAGAACAGGTCCGCGGTGTTTGAGAGTTTCGTGTGCGACCACAGG